GCATTGCAATTAGTTTTCACTATTGGATAAAAATCAGCTTTAGCTCCTGCCATTTCTATAGAGCACTGGATATTAATCAACTATTGTGGGGACATTGTTATGTGAATGACCTTTAGCTACAGGACACACTGCAATTCTTTTATTGAAAGCTTCTAATTCAATTTTACAAAAGGATCTTCTAGTTACGAATGCAGCCTGGCCATATTTAAAGGGGAACACCTCTTATCTGTAGAGTAAGAGTAAATCTGTATAGCTTTGTACCAATAAAAAAAATCATCCTGTACCTTTTGCATTATGAGAGGTAACATGTTTTTGCACAACTACCAAAACAAATGTGTAATTGCGTGCACAAAAACATACATCCACATACCCTGGTATATACGAACCATGTATATTTATAGACACCCTTGTGATGTGTCCACTCGCCACCCACTAAGTTGCCATATTGGTGTATAGTTCCATACGTCTGGCGCAAAGTTTTACGTCTCACTCCAGTCTCTACCAGAAACAACCAGGTGGCCTGATACCACAACCATGTGGCCTGTGTCCAGGGCGTTTAAGTAGGCTACATCTGTTAGTTATGTCAAGACCTCCAGGATGTGAGAATAGTCATTTTGGGTACTTTTAAGGTGTTCTGGGCAAGGGAAGGGTCCATAATCTGTATCCAAGCCCCTCCAAGCATCCCAGGAATGGAGGTATCTTTTACAGAGAGTGTATAATCCTTGCAAATACATGATTTAGACAGAAATAGATTGGAAATAGATTGGAAAATACTCACAGGTTTACTCACTAAAGTGAGAATAGCATGAACTTCAAATTGAAATTCTCTTTCAATTCACTGTAATTTTCACTATTTAGTAAATAGCCCTGTCAGAGTTGGCATTTAGACTTACAGTTGATACTTGCACTTTAAGAAGCTGGCTGAGAGACTGGGAATTGCAGTCTAAGAACAGATGAAGAGTGCGTATGGACCACCCTTACATGATGGAAGGCATGTTACATTGTTGGGAAAGTCTCAAGTCCACCTTTTACATTTTTCTCTCAGGAATGAGCACAAGCTAACTGATTAAGCTGCAAAAAAGGAAGAATATTTTTTTCCAGACTCCTAAGAGGCAATCCAATTTCTTCTTTGATCAACAAGCCATCAATACCCTACAAATGACCTTTTATATTGTTGATTATTATCCTTTGCCAAAAAAAACTAAACAAAACATAAAGAAAAATCTAGACCGTTTTAGAGATATCTGCTGGATTTTAGAAAACCTTTTTCTGTGAACGCTATATTTTATTGTTTCTACTTTAAAATACTAGCTCTACCATAACTACTGGTGGATCACTGTACCTATTTATAAGTACTGCACCATTTTGATCCCCCATCTGTCATAGTAGATCATTATTGTATAATTGTGAGCACCCCCACCCTCCTTTTCTTTATTCTGTATCCACTCCAATGCAGTTTTATCTTGAAAAAACAAAATAATAATAACTTTTCAAAATATATATATATATCACATTATCTCTGCCTGAGGCAAAATCATCTTCGTCCAAGTCTCAGTGGATCATATATTGTTTGTATGATGCTGTGTTATACATTTCTATATTATATATCCCTATGGTGACACGTTGTTTTATAATGTAAACAAATACACTTTTCCATTCTTTCTTCATTCCTTCTTCATATCCATTCAAGGCTGCCATCAGAAACATAGATGCAAACTACTTGACATATATACACACACATGAATATGCTCTCGCAGGTACACACACATTCACAGATATACATTTCCAGCTACACATCCACATTCCCAAACAAACACATTTGCAGGCACACACACTGACACAAATACACACTGACAGACTCAAAGATTCACATACACATGTACACTTCTATATTTACCGATTTCTAAAAATATACCGTCACACAGTCAGATACACACTGTCACACTCACAAACACTGTCACACACATACAGATACACATGCACTGACACACACACAAACAGTTAGGGTTACAGTGTGGATTAAGGATAAGATTATGAGTTGTGGGGTGTGTAAGATTTTAAGTCAAAGTTAAAGTTAGACTTCAGGGACTATGGTTAGTGTTAGAATACCATCTAATGAAATAAAGCATTACATTTTGGGTTTAAAGTAAGAATAAGATTTGGGATGTTTTTCCAGCTCAGAAATTTGTCCTAAAATTTGCAACACCCTTGTGAGTTTTCCATAATTTCCATTTTTGTAAATACACCCCTGTGCAGTGACACAAAACGTAATATGTTGCGTGAAATTTAAAGCATCTGTCACCATCTGGGGACTTTGCAGAATTCACAAAGACCCCCAATGGTGACATCGCCACAGGGGTCCGGTGGCAAGAGGGGCAGGTAAAGGTGATACTTACTTGAACTTGTACCTTCTGGGCACAGCTGTGTTCCTCAGGCCACTCCTCTTCAGAATTTGTGAGAGTGCAGCATTGAGGGCTATGGAGACATAGCCTCGGCACTGACATTGTAGCTCCGCCCAGTGTCTAAGAAAGTCAGGCGGAGACCCTATTTGATTTCAGTGACATTCCAACACAGTCAAAATAAGTATTTCATAAAGATTCTATTGTTATTAAATACTCTTTTTTTATGGAGGGGAGGGGGGGGGGGAGGCTATACTCAAGAGGCAGAAAATTGTTCAGAACACCCGCCTTGTAAAGACTTCTCATTTGAGCTTCATTGGGAAGTCTGTGATTGGACAGCCACAGAAAGTCTGGGCGGGGTTAAAAGACTGCAGACAAGAGATCTGCATCTTTTGCAAGCTGTTTTAAGATTGACATAATGCATAGTTAAATGCATGTAAGTTTTTATTTGGGGTATATCTACTAAACAGTGATTTATTTATTTTTCATTTGGGCAGTGGCGTGTCCCTTTGACCTCGACTCATTCTCCTATGCATTGCTCTGTGTAATATCAGTGTACTTCTAGCAGTAAATATGAAGACTATGGATCATTGCAGCTCCTGTATTGATTAGTTATTGGGATTTTTCCTGCATTCGTTATCCATACACAGGCTGGCTTTACTGCAGAGGTGTTAAGACCTAATCCACAAAGAGCGAATCATGTTACTTGTGACAGACACACTGCTGTTTTGTGACTGTGATTTCACTACCTGAGCACAATGAGCAATGTAGATATGTCATATGGAGTGCTAAATGTTATTATTCAATGCACTAGTCTGATATATAAAATATTTACCGGAGGTAGGAGGATGAGATGTGCAGGAGGTGAATGACTGTCCAGGGTTTTAACCCCTTAAGGACCAAACTTCTGGAATAAAAGGGAATCATGACATGTCACACATGTCATGTGTCCTTAAGGGGTTAAATGGCTCCATACATAGGTAGAGACTGCAGACATTTAGCCACACAATGTCATGTCAGGTCTCATTTACTATAATGCACTATAAGAGACTGCATGGAATGGGCTCTGCGATGTACAGGTCAAATCCTACATACTCTGCACAGGACTATAGGGACACTATTTAATGTATACCATGTGTCCAAGTCAGAGCCTGCATGCAGTTGATGCAATTGAAGGGGTGACTATTACTATGCAATGTACACAGAGTGTACAAGTAAGAGCTCTATGGGAGTGCAGAGAAGACACTGACTATGCATTGTATACAATATGTAAAAATCAGAGGACACTCTCTTATCAATGCATACACTGTAGATGAGTGCAGGGAGGACACTGAGTACACACAGTGTATACAGTATATGATAGTCAGAGCCTGAATGCATTGTACAAGAGTGCAGGGAAGAGGATGACTATACAATGTATTCAATGTACACTACAGAGCAAGCGTGCACTGTAGATAAGTACAGGGAAGACACTGACTATACAATGTAAACAGGTCAGATCATGTCTATTAGATGAGTGGAGGGAGGACACTGAATGGACACAATGTATACAGGTCAGATCCTCTCTATCAGGAGGACACTGAATGGACACAATGTATACAGGTCAGATCCTGTCTATTAGATGAGTGGAGGGAGGACACTAAATGGACACAATGTATACAGGTCAGATCCTATCAGGAGGACACTGAATGGACACAATGTATACAGATCAGATCCTGCCTATCAGATCAGGGAGGACACTGAATGGACACAATTTATACAGATCAGATCTGTCTATCAGATCAGGAAGGACACTGAATGGACACAATGTATACAGGTGAGATCCTGTCTATTAGATCAGGGAGGACACTGAATGGACACAGTGTATACAGGTCAGATCCTGTCTGTCATATTAGGGAGGACACTGAATGGACACAGTGTATACAGGTCAGATCCTGTCTATCAGATCAGGGAGGACACTGAATGAACACGATGTATACAGGTCAGATCCTGTCTATCAGATCAGAGAGGACACTGAATGGACACAGTGTATACAGGTCAGATTATGTCTGTCAGATCAGGGAGGACACTGAATGGACACAATGTATACAGGTCAGATCCTGTCTGTCAGATCAGGGAGGACACTGAATGGACACAGTGTATACAGGTGAGATGCTATCAGGGAGGACACTGAATGGACACAGTGTATACAGGTCAGATCCTGTCTGTCAGATCAGGGAGGACAGAATGGACACAGTGTATACAGGTGAGATGCTGTCTGTCAGCGAGGACACTGAATGGACACAGTGTATACAGGTGAGATGCTGTCTATCAGGGAGGACACTGAATGGAGACAGTGTTTACAGATCAGATCCTGTCTATCAGGGAGGACACTGAATGGACACAATGTATACAGATCAGATCATGTCTGTCAGTCGAGGTTGATGTTCCCACCATGTGCCAGTGATCTCATTTCACACCCCTTGCTGCCCTCCTCCTCCATGTCTCCTGATGCACGCCATTTCTCTCCTCTGTAGGATGAAGTTTGCTAAGCAGACAAGCAGCTCGTCCTGGTCTCCTCCCCCTCATCCCCCCCATGTCTCATGATGCGGAGGAAATCCAGTCTGTAATCTGCATCAGTCACACAGAGCACCTGAGCAGCCAGGCATACTATCAGCGGCTCTTACAATAACAAGCCAGCTCGCCAGGGATTGCCTGGGATCGCCTTGAGCTCTCTGCCTGCTGCAGACAGGATGGGGGAGCAACAGGGGAGCTGTGCTGGGAGCTCTGTGAGCGCAGAGCACGGGGAGCTGTCCATTCAGCACCAGCATACCATCAGCACTGCTAACAGCTCCTGCAGCCACTGACATTACTCCTCAACTTACCTCACTCACACTCACTGCATGGCCACTGGGGACCTGCTCAGCTCATCCAAAACCTCACTCCTGCTGGAAAATAGCAACTGCTCAGGGATCCTGGGTGAAGAAAGTCTGATGGGGACAACTAGAGCCAGCAGGAAACCCACACAAAGCTTGGGGAAGTCTCTCTGGAAGTTGCCTCCTGGCTGCCCTGTGCTGATGGCTATAAAATTCTAATGTTAAGAGGTAAGATGTGAAGTGAGTTAGTTTTACACCTCCATTAACAGGCAAAGGAGTCATCATACAATGTATCATAAACAAGCCATGGATTTGGAATCTTGGTGATCAAGCACTGGTTCTGGTTTAACCCTCTCAGTGCTGCAGGTGGGGGGAACATTGCAGAACTCTTTGGAACTGAAAGGGTTCTGATATGCTTCAAAACAGCTGAAATTTAACATGGCCAAAGGAAAGGTCAGGTCAGAAAATCCAAGTATAATAAACCCAGCAGTAGGCAATTAACATTGCACATGATTGTAGATAAAATACTATAGCATAGTAATGGTGTTTAATTCCTGCATGCTTTGTTACGCACACATAGATACTATCAGATAACACATTTACTCTGTACAGATAACTGCTTGCAGAGATTCCATTTTCAGAGTATAACACAAACAAAAATGCTCAAAATTACACACAGGTTATTAAAATAATGCAAACACGTAGCATTTCATACACACATGCAGCACACATTATTATTGGATATTGATACTAATTTAGTGATGGAGAAATGGTTTCCCCCTTTTTTTCTCTTTTGTACCTTTTCCACTGTTGCGTTTTCCCTGAAAATGTTCTATAAAACAATAAAAAATAATTTGAAAGAATCTATGCAAAGTTTTAATATTCATACTCTCAGTTATCTGCATATCATTTTGTAAATAAAATGGTGGGACCGTTGCATGGAACTTTAATTGTACTAATGTTTAAATTCTGTATATTCTAGGCCTGCTTTCCATAATAAAAAAAGTTTGAAAACTCAATATGACAAGGGACAGATTGGACGATTTGTCTGAATACGATATTGAAGATTCTGAGATTAGTATAAATGTCGGAGGATACAAGAAAAGGTTAAGATATGACACGTTGTTAAAATTCCCAGACACCAGACTGGGCAAGCTCTTGGCTTGTCACTCAAAAGAATCCATCCTTGAACTGTGTGATGACTATGACGACACCAAAAATGAGTTTTACTTTGACAGAAACCCAGAGCTTTTCCCTTACGTGTTACATTTTTACAATACCGGGAAACTCCACGTCATGGGTGAACTTTGCGTTTTTTCTTTCTGCCAAGAGATAGAATACTGGGGAATTAATGAGTTCTTCATAGACTCATGCTGTAGCTACAGCTACCATGGGAGAAAAGTTGAACCTGACCAAGAACAGTGGGAAGAGCGGAGCGAACATGAGAGCACCACATCTTCATTTGATGAGATTTTGGCATTTTACCATGATGCATCCAAGTTCGACAGGCAGCTGTTTGGAAATATTAGAAGGAGACTTTGGTTAGCTTTGGATAATCCAGGCTACTCTGTTCTGAGTAGAATCTTCAGCATCCTTTCCATCATGATAGTCCTGGGTTCTATTGTCACCATGTGCCTCAACAGTTTGCCAGACTTTCAGATTGTTAACGCCAATGGCAGTACAGAAGAAGACCCCAGATTTGAGATTGTGGAACATTTTGGCATAGCCTGGTTCACACTTGAGTTGGTGGTGCGATTTGCAGTGTCTCCAGACTTTAAAGCTTTCTTCAAACATCCCCTGAACATCATCGATTTCATATCGATAGCTCCATTTTACACCACCTTAATCGTCAACCTAGTGGTGGAAAGCAGTCCAGCTCTGGCCAATTTGGGAAGGGTGGCACAAGTGTTGAGACTCATGAGGATTTTTCGCATCTTAAAGCTTGCTAGACATTCCACAGGCTTGAGATCATTGGGGGCTACATTAAAATACAGTTACAGGGAGGTGGGCTTGTTATTGCTGTATTTGTCTGTAGGGATTTCAATATTTTCTGTTGTGGCTTACACCATTGAAAAAGAGGAAAATGATGGCTTAGCCACAATCCCAGCTTGTTGGTGGTGGGCCACCGTTAGCATGACCACGGTTGGTTATGGAGATGTGGTGCCAGGATCTATAGCAGGGAAACTGACTGCCTCAGCTTGTATACTAGCTGGGATTCTTGTTGTTGTTCTTCCTATAACTCTCATATTTAATAAGTTTTCCCATTTTTACCGACGGCAAAGGCAGCTAGAAAATGCGATGAGAAGCTGTGATTTTGATGATGGTATAAAAGAAAATCCATCTGTAAACCTTAGGGATTACTATGCTCATAAAGTCAAATCCCTGATGGCAAACCTCACAAATTTGAGCAAGAGTACACCAAGCGAGCAAAGTCTCGATGGCTCACTAAACTAATTCAGGACGTAATCCACCATATTCTTATCCATCTATTGCATGATCTACAAGGCACTGTACTTCAGTCAGTGTCCAAACATAAACGTATAGATTAGCAATATTGACACTGGCCCTTCCATTGGTTCTTATAGTGCCTTGCGTCTACCAGTCTTTCCTTTTAGTGATGCTAAGTGTGCATTTTACTAATCTATTGTTCGACTCATGTGAGCAATGTCCTGTAAAACTGGGTATCCATATTTATGCGGCAGTGTCAAAAGTAACAACAAAAAAACAAACATTCTAAGCTGTTTGCAGTAAAATGTTGTTAATGTTTGTTCAGGTGCGTGTTTGGGAATGCTCTGTTACCTGTGAATAGTGTCTTCTGTCTGATATGCCCATAACATGCACTAAAATGTTTGGATTGAAATCCAGAACAATGGATGTGTGTGCATTCGATGTTATATAATATAAACATTTTGGCTTTCACTGCTGTGCGCCATTGGACTCGAACCAAGTGTAGCACACTAGTGACCAAGCAATCAACCGCATACCTAAAGTGACTTTTAAGATCAATGTATTTGTAAAATTGTGGGTGTTTCAAGTCAAAGAAGCATTGATTATCATGGACTACTGCAAGGTTAACATGTAACGTTTACGTGTCTGTGTGTGACTAACAGGGTCTTACAACGGCTGAGCTTCTCAGATTTGTCTAAACTATATTATTATTTTAGGTGTGGGGCCAATTATAGCAGATGTACGGATGCAACAGCATTCTCAAGTGTCTGAACGGATAGTTTGTTGCAAACATTCTGTAAATGGTGGGATTGATGGCAGACATTTCATTCTGGTTTGTTTTCTGTTTGATGATTGGAAAAACAAAGTCTGTTTTCAACTGATCGTGTACGTAGAAAGCCGATAGTAGCATATTGCATGTACAAGGAAGTTATTCTGGTGTTCTGTAAGATATAAGGTTTACTGACATTGGATTGTGGTGAGTTGACAAATGTCCTTTAAGGTTAAAAAAAATGCAGTTAGGTTAAATTGGAGATTTTTTTTTTCCAACTCGTCTATTTTGGGCTAAATTTCTGTAATTTACTTGTCATCTCCCAATGATATATTTTTAAAGAATAAACATAAAATGATTGGAGATTGCATTGCATAATTATAAATCATGCAAAGCAAAAAGTGAAGCCTCAGTTTGTCATATTTCTCTGCTTCTGGGGTTTTGATATTTTAGCCGGGGCTGTGACAGCTTTGATTGTTACGTACAGAAGCAATACGCATTTGCTGATACTTGATGGACTTGAGTTTTTAAGTTAAATGATTGTGGGTCTTATAAATACGGTGATTTTCTGCACACATTTCAGACGCCATCGCATAAATGTCTGATACTACAACCTAAATGCATTCCACACTATCTTAGTCTTCACGTAAAAGATGCACTCCTATGCTGAAATGAAAATCAATGAATGACAGCATATCCAATGATAAAGTATGTGAGACTACTTTGCCAGCATTGGAATGCTGCATATATCTAGCAAATTATTTGTATTTATTGGACGATGCTAGGGTAAATTTGTATACACAGACATAGCGGTTGAGCAGAACTATCATCCAGGATTTAGTTATGTATTTTGACAGTTCCATTTACCTAACGGGAAAAAAAAGAATGTTCATCTGAATACTGAGTCAGAAAATGTTTAAAGGGACAGTCTTGTGACAGTAGCATTCAGCTCAGTTGCTTCGGTTCCGGGGTACTATAAATGAACTGTATAGTTCATTTTACATATAGTGAGCTGGTGGTAAGGCTGAGTGTAATATATTAATATACTGTTTCATACATAGGACATATACCTCGGTTTTATTCGGATCTTTCTTAATCTCAAAGCATTCCTTTTTATATTTTTTCAGTGATAGAAAGCCCTAGTGCTCTATTTATATAATTTGCATCAGAAACTCCCATCAGCCATTACAATAATTTCATATTAAGTCACGGCTTTAATTAAAGCAAAAATCTACGTAATTGTCACCTTTTTTTTTAATACATTACATATACAATAAAAAATAAAATACTTATATTTTAAAAGTCAGGCAGACTTGTCCCTAATTAGGAAGAGGCTGACCAATCAGGCCTATCATTCTGGTCTGAGATAAGAGTTAGCTCCTATCTCATCAGAATAAATGCAATTTTAAAGTATGATATTTGATCAAAATAGTAAATAATCAAATCCATGAAAATGTGTTTCTATATAAAAAAAAGCTACTTTTTCCCGTTTCTGTAATTTTTACTCACTTTATTATTATTACTATTATTGCCATTTATATAGCGTCAACAAATTCCGTAGCGCTTTGCAATATTATGAGAGGGGGATTTAACTATAAATAGGACAATTACAAATAAACTTACTGGAATAATAGGTTGAAGAGGACCCTGCTCAATCGAGCTTACATTCTATAGGAGGTGGGGTGTAAAACACATTAGGACAGGAATTTATTTTATTCACATAGAGTCGGAAGGTTATCTTCAGAATTTGGATTGTGAATTATAACAGTTGCCAAAATATTCAGCTCATGTCCTTCTACTTCTATCCTTCTAATCTGAAGGAACGCAGGGTGCAGAGACATACAAAATATTGATTGAAAAGCTTTGCTGCCTGGTCTGTGTCTAGACTAGAACTGTAAACAGAAGACACAGAGACAAATCACTGACCGGCTTGTATGTTCTTTATTGGAATAATTTTTTAGATTGTATTTATTCACCTTCGTTTAACAATGTGTGAGACAATAGTTGTCAATTCGAAACTTAGCAACCAAATGTAAACATGCATTTAACCCCTTGGGGACCACATTTTACAAGCTGTCTACATCACAATCTGCTCATCAAAGACCTTCTGTTGGCATGGAATGTCCCTCTTAGTGAGCACCGGTCATTGAGTTGGTCATTCCATCTCGGAATGAAATTCTTTAAAGGACAGATTATTATGATAGCATAGTCCAGGGGTAGGCAGCCTTCAGCACTCTAGATCTCGTGGACCACATGTTACATAATGCTCTAACAGCCATAATGCTGGCAAAGAATCAGGGTAGATGTAGTCCACAACATCTGAAGTGCCGAACTTTGCCTACCCCTGGTGTAGGGTCTTTGCTACTCTAGCATTATTGGCTTGCTTACACCTGTCATAACCCAACTTTGGTCCTTAAGGAATTAATAGAGAATCATTTCTCACATCTCTCATGGGTTAGAAGGGGGGCAGTAGTTAAAATGTGTTGCAGATTGAGTTAACATTAATTCTCACCTGAATTAAGTGATTTTCTGATAAATGTGCCCAGAAAACCCTAATTTAAGAATATTAAAAAAACAAGAGAATCCAGTTTTTTTTTCAAATGTGCTTATCCTGTAAAGGACAAAGGGCAAATGCTATAGAGGTAAGCGGAGATATTGAGAGAGTTATACACACAGAAGATCAGTAATGAGATGGAGAGTGTAGTGGCTTAAATTAGAATTTCATTGAAGGAAGGTGTAAATGTGGCTAAATATAAACGAGGGAAAATATAGTATTGGGTTCAATGCTGCAGGTGAGACATGATTACTCATTAGATAACAGTGTTAATTGGTCAGGTGAGCCGAGGCTTTTCTATAGATAAAGACAGGAGCAGGAAGTGATTACTCTGACAGTAAATAAAGCATACAATTACTTTTAAAGGGAAATGCGACCAATAGAACAAGTAAGGGTAGAAGGAGGCCATACAAGGGGAGCTGGAGAGGAGACATTTGTGGTTATTTATGCATTACCCAAATTTGGTTTGGACTGGAAGTCTGCCTTAAGCTTTTAATTCATGTCTTTCAAACCAAAATAAGGTGCACAGTATAAGGTTTCGCTGATGTGTATAAAATAGTTATTTTTATAAAAATAAAATTACCCCCTTGGGATTGCGTGGTACGAAAAAAATCATATAATTACATTTTGTAATTCTTTTATTTCAATAGTAGCAGTACTTGGAGTCCACTTAAAACTTCTTACAATAAATGGGGGAGAAGATACAAAGGTAATAAAACATAGAAATTAACAACAGACAGAGAGCATGCCATAGAACAATGGGAGCGGACACAAATAGAATAAGAACAGGACCACAATAAGACAATAAGAGAAAATGTTCTGGGCTGGAGTTGTACCCACTGTCACTTTCAGAATGTGTTAGAAATTTAAATTACAAAATGGAAATAGAATGCTCTTCTTTGTTCTTGCATTAAGTGCAAATTCCCAGGATTTGCATCTTCTGCAGTGAGCTCTCACCAGACCAGGAAGTGGCTGACAAATTCTCAGCCAATGGGAGTTTATAGGACTTGTTGTTCAGCTGTCAGTGTTGTCCTGAAGCTATTTTCACAAAGTAACTGGGCGCAAATAAGTCATTTATGAATGTAAGTAAGTGAATCCTAGTGGGCCACGAGCTTTCTATATACATTGTAGAATCTGTCTCAATCAGCCAAATTCATGAAAACACATATTACACACTGTAGGCACCCATATCACTTTAGCTCATTGAAGTGGTCTGGGTGCAATGTCCCATGTGCCTTAACCCTACAGTGGTAATTATTGCAGTTTCTGAGAAACTGCACTAACTACCTCTGAGGGTTAACTACTCCTCTAGTGGCTGCCTACCTTACACCTGCCTAGATTTTGAGGACCTCCAGCGTCAGATTTTCCCAATAGGAAAGCATTGAACAAATGCTTTCCTATGCTTTCCTATGCAGACATCCAAATACGAGCGCAGCCATTGGCTGACGTTGGCGGGGGAGAAGTGTGGGCGGACATCGGCGCTGGATTCAGGTAAGTGACTTAAGGGGTTCTAACTTCTTCACCCCCAGGGGGTTGGCGGGGCACGACGGAGGGGGGCACTGCAGGAGCCTATAGTGCAAGGAAAACGGCTTTGTTTTCCTGGTACTATAGAACCCCTTTAATCCATTTGCATAAAAGACATTTCATGAATATAAATTTAAAATGTTGTCCATGATCTAATGTTCGGAGACGTACAGTAAAACGTCACAGAAAGCTTCTGTGTCAACCTTTAAAAGTTAAACATCAGTGCCTAAAATAATTTAATTACCATTTACTACCCTTTCTAGAAGTTGTTTTTGTTAATTATTAAGATGTAGTCAGAAAATAATAGGGTGCCCAGTCACACCTTATGTCGCAGGGTGCACAAGGGGTGTGCCAGGAGGGACCAGTTACCCCCTAATACTGAGCAAAAATTCTCCCCATTCCCTGTTTCGGTTTTCATTGGGTTTGCCTTTTGATATGTTTGGGAAGAGAAATCCTAAATATATCTGTATGAATTATCACTAGAGCAAAACTTTGCTTTTTGTTTCTAATTTTACATTTTTTAATTAGTATTTTTTTAAGTAAGGATGAGATGGTAATTTTATCTGGGTGCACACCATAATGCAAAACCTGTGCTACTTATTACTTGAGTTTTTGATTAGCTTATTTATAATTTGTTTTAGAATTTGATCCAATAACATAATTATTGCTTAAAAAAAGAAATAACTATAGAAGATTAAGAATAGTAATAATATAAAATTGCAGCATAGCTTGCTGTACCCCAACCTACACATTACATCAAACACGAGTGTCCTTTTACACTATTTATTCTTATCTAATAACGTTTTATCACCTTGTACTCTTGTACTAGTGATATGTCATTATATGAAATAGTAATATTTTTCTATATTGAATTCATGTTAATGCTACACTTTAGGCACTTCATCTTATTGAAGTGGTCTGGCTGCAGTGTCCCTGTCCCCTTAATTGTAGAGATACTGCAATGTTGTTATTGCAGGGTTAAGACTGCCTCTAGTGGCTGTCTACCAGAGAGCCACTAGAGATGCTTTTTGCTGTTTAACAGAGTTTGATTCTGTGAAACGACGATGGACATCCTCATGCACTATATGAGGACACCCAGCATCTTCTAAATCTCCATAGGAAAGCATTGAGTCAACGTTTTCATTTGGGAAAGGCCTAATGAGTGTGAAGTGCTTGCCATGCATGCACGTTAGTTTCCCCCGATCCTCCTGACATCGGAGGGGAAGTAGCCTGACCCGGAACCGAGAGACCTCAGCGCTAGAATCAGATAATTGTCTAAAGGATTATTGCACCCTTTCATGAATGGGGTGGATAAATGGAGAAGGAAGCACGAAGTCAGAGGGACACTTTAGTGTTGGGATAATGTTTTGTATTCTTGACACTATAGTGTTCCTTTAACTGTGCTTATTCAAGTTTCTAAAAATGGAATAAAAAGATGTATTTATTAATTCATTCTCTAGCACTTAAAAAAGACATTGCAGGGAAATATTGTAAATACAATATTATTTTCATATTTGTGATTGCTATTAAATGTTTTGAACAAATATGTTTTTTTTTATTTTATTTCATGAATTATTGTCTCCAGACAGCACTGAAATACTTCTAGTGATAAATTAGATTACACGTTGGTACTATGTTCATGTGTTTTCAGCACTGGATTCAATTGCACAGCACTGGAGAGTAAAAGTGAATCTCAAGGTCTGAGTTAAATGTCTGGTTTATGAATGTAGTAGGTTGGATAAATAGTACTGAACTTTTGTGGACTTATTCACTAAGCAGTGAGATGTGTCGATTTGTGAGCCAACTTTTAACATTTGAACTAGAACAGCCGAGTTAAAATAAGATCAGTTCGGCCGGGTTGGGGGGTTTTGTTTTTCAAGTTTGGCCTTATTTTGCAATCCGGTTTTCAAGTGGCCAGAACTCACTGTTTAGTTAATACAGCCCACACTGGCTATCAACAAAGTTTACAATTGTACACTAAATGTTCAACAAAAAATGGACGTAGAAGCACTTACCCTATCAGTCCTCTGTTGTTTACCCCTGTTTTACTGTTGTCTTTTTTAATATAATGTAATCTATGTATAAATATAATAAAGGATTCCGATTGTTTATTAAACGTTTTGTCTTGATAAACCGTTGTTGAAAAGGTTCTAATTTGTTTCGACTTGTTTTATGTCAATTTTAATGTGACAATTAATTGTACACAGAATTTTGCTCCTAAGAATATTGAAATGGCCAGAATTTTTGCACTGGTTCCTTGGAGGTTTTATAATACTTGGTAAATTCTTCCATATACTCTAAACTAATTTCTCACGGTACGTTATCAGGGTTATTAACTACAGTGAGAATTCAAATTGAATTTGAAATTTAAGGTCAAAATAGGCAAACTGGAAAAATCCTCTAAGTCAGCTGTGCATATGTTTGGCTACTCTGTACTTAAAGGAACACTATAGTGTTAACAATACAAACATGTATTCTTGGCACTATAGTCCCGGTGACAGTTTAGGTCCCCTTCCCCCATAGATTACATTGAAAATGTATTAAACTTATCTTTTCTACTTACGGGGTTCTGGGAGGGTATTTCGTCCACGATACAGGAAGTAACAGGCAAGAAGCTACCACATAGACCAGAGACATACCTGCTGCTGGTGTTGCCGAAAAAACTTCCAAAAAGCCACTCTATACCTCATGTATCATATTATCATCGCATCCCTGGCAGCAATAGGAAGGATGTGGCTCAGGGACCCTTTGCCAGATATTGGGCAATGCTTAGGTGAGGTCGACACCACAAAACGGTATGAGATAGAAGTGAGACGCCTAAGATCTAAGAAAAAGACCTGGCAGGCAGCATGGGACCAGTGGGAAGCTTGACGACAACAGAACCCAGTGTCTCTAAAACCACAGCGGCTATTAAACCCTTAGCATACACTCCCACTATTAGTAGACCGACACCCCCTCCCCCTACTTCCCCTTTTACCTAGTTTCCCCCCTCCCTTATTGTCAGTGGACGGGAAGGACATAAATACGACGTAAGTGTCAATGGTATTGACATAAGAGTGACGATACCCGCAGCTCCCCAAGTAATAGTGATGCATGACAGATGAAAATTGAGCAAGGGGAAGTAAAACTTGGTATATACTTGATCCACCTTTTGGAACTGGGGCAGAGTTAACCTTGGGTATTGTCTGTAAAGCACATCCCTCTCTCTTCTGTACCCCTTCCCTCTAATCTCTTAAAACTCAATAAAAATATTGAAAAAAAAAAGTATATTTTCTCCACCGCCACGGCTGGACCTGCCTTCATGGCTGAGATTATCAGTCTTGATCATCTCAGTCAATCCAATGTTTTCCCATAGGAAAGCATTGGAATGCTATTGAGCATGCACGGCAAAATTCCACATCAATCAGCAGCAATCTCACGGATAAAATGCATCTCTATGGGGAATATTCGGGACCTCTTTGCCGAACGTGGAGACGCTGAATGTAGGTGCTGCTCAGAAGCATCTCGATTGGCCGTCAGAGTTACCGCCACTGGACGTGTTTCTAGGAAGCAATGTAAACATTACCTTTTTCTGAAATGGCAGCGTTTACAATGAAAAGCCTGCAGGGACAGGCTATAGATACCAGAACCATGACATTAAGCTGTTGCGGTTCTGGTGATTATTGTGTCCCTTTAAAGTTTAAATTCCCTTTGAATTCACTTTGAATTCTCACTTAGTGAAGAATCTGTTAAATACTAAACTCTCACGAACATTCAAGGGAGGGCTGGCATATTTTGGTTAAGAACAAACAAACAGCCTTTTTGGGTCCCAAAACTCACAGATCTCAGTGTAGATGGTCACTCGAAGTGTGCAATATACAAGTTTGACACATGGAGGCTGCTAGATTTGCAAGTTATGACATCAACCTGCAGCTCTTATCTCTGCAACGTCTATCAGCATGGTCCTTGCACAACAGGATGGAGCATTGACCGAGATCTTGCATGTCAAAGAGACACAGATTCATTTTCCCGTGATCCCATTCCCACCTGTGCCATGAGCACTGTCTAAACACAACCTATTGTCACTCGCAAACAGCTCCATGGACACCACCTACTCATCATAAATAGTGATGTCCCGAACAGTTTGCCGAATGGTTTGGCACGGACGGCGAACATATGACCCTGTACCTCACAGTCAGCAGACACATTTCAGCCAATCAGCAGCAGACGCTCCCTCCCAGACCTTCCTACCTCCTGGACAGCAGCCATTTTGAAGCTGCATTCTTAGTGAGCTGTCCAGGAGGTGGGAGGGTCTGCTGCTGATTGGCTGGAATGTGTCTGCTGACTGTGAGGTACAGGGTCATATGTTCACCGTCCGCGGCGAACCGTTCGGCGAACCGTTCGGGACATCACTAATCATAAAGTCTGGTATCCTGGTTAGCCCAAATACTGCTACCAGGAAATATCCCATTGGGCCAGTCTAGGTCAGAAAAACATTAAGACTGTGGGCGACCAACCCATGTACAAACCCAACCAGTGCTGAGCAAGCAACAGCCCTTCACCTGCCTGCTGCCAAACTCCTGCACCCTCGGCCAGCAGAAAATACAATGCAATTCTATTTTAATTCACAGGACAGTGGTGTGAGACTGTAGCCCACATTCCCTGTATGCTAGTGGTTCCCCTCGTCATCCCTCCCCTGCGTACACTGTAACCTAGCTAAATTATAGCATGCACTTTAACCGGACAGACTGGCACATTCTAATTGTTACATTCTTCCTGAAGCCACATTTATAAAGGACATCCACCTACAGCTAAAATGTAACAGATTGGGTTATTCTGGCCTCTGATTAGCAAAACATGTGAGGTCAATATGTGGATATGTGCAAGGTGTGTATAGGAAAGAAAGAAATAGCATTGATTAACTTTATAAAGTTAATGCTTTCCTGCAGATCAAGTTTCTTACACATTGTACATTGTATAAATCAGATACAGTATGCACCGGTGATTAATATTAGAATAGACCTGGTGTAACGAAATCCCTTATTGAACAGACCATGCAAACCAGCCTGTTCGACTATTTGGATGGGTACAGGGTGATTTCGTGCAAATAGCGAGAAAAACGAATGAACTACCGAACCACCCGACCTCCCACTGAGGTAGTGTGGTGCCTATTAACCACCCAGACTTTGCGGTTAACCACAGACTAATTGGGGAATAGCTGGTGGTCCGCGTTCGTCTACCGAACACGTGGCAATCACCATTTTGGATTGTCGACTGCTCAGCGGTAAATGGCGACGATACCCTGGAACTAATTTCAGCTACTTATTTTGCCGGAAACCGCTGATACCTCTTCAGGTCCTCATTCATACGGTGGAAAACCCATGAATGCCGGAGATACCACACCATTCGTGCGTTGGATGTATGCGAAAGTGACCGACCCCAGATAGCTACAGTATGGAACTTATTGTCGGATACAAACACGGCAACGACCGGTGAAAACCAAACTTCAGTCGACGTTGTTGAGAACTGTGTTTGTGGGATCTGAGCGCTATTCGCCTAGAATATGCACTCATATCCAACCTATCTGGGGGTATGTGGGACTTACAGTTTATGTTCAGTAAAATGTGAGTTATAGATTTTTATACTGTTTTACTAAAATAAGAAAAGCCATGTTCCTTTCTACCTGGAGATAATTAAGGCTCTCTTTACTCCCTTAAGTTAATTATCTCCAGGATGGAAAAGAGGGAGTGATTTATGTAACAGGGGAGTGCTTATGTTATAGCCACTGTGATTGGCTACTGTATTTCTTTTTCTCCAGTCTTCCATCTGGTCCCCTAGGGGAGTGTCCACCAGGTAGGAGACCTGCATAAATACCGGGCAGGTAGCCCACAGTAAATCAGATCGTATTACCCCTTCATGAAGTCTCGACTCATGTTTGGGGGATTGGGAGTTATAATCACTTCTTTTCAGCTGGATTTCGGGAGAAGCTGCAAGGATCATCGCTGCACGAATAAAAGGAACCTTTACACCTGGATTTAGTAATCTAAGTCTGAGGACGTACAATTTTATTATGTACTGCATGTGATGCTTTTGTCACAGTGTATTCTCCCCCTATGGGATGGAATATTTGTATTGAAAGTTCCCTTCAGTTCATCACATTATCAGGGTGAAGCAATCAAAATAGACAAAATGCAGAGGTCCATCATCATTGGCACTGGGCATAGGTTTTCAGTCTGCGGTATGCATATCCCAGGGGGCACGCCAGGACCTTTGGACCCCCCAGAAAGTGGATGGCTGTGCACTAAGGCACCTGCTTACTCGGACAGTGTGCTGTGTCCAAAGGGGGAGAGTGAAGGCGGGCGGCGAGTCAGGGATGAGGTCTGTGTGTGTCACTGTCCTATGTGTGCAAATGTGTGTGTGCCGGTGTCCTCTTATTTTAAAATATTCTCTACTACCTTTTATCAGGCTTGTTCTCCAACACGGGATTCATTTAAATATCAGGGTCTACATGTTTCATTTGGAATTCAAATTGAAATTGCTTTCTCGAGGTAGGAATTTTTTTAGACTTGCGGGTGTACTTCTCCATAAAAGATCGAGAAACACTGACATACGGTAAGCAGCTCTGGATAATCCAGCAATGAGGCTACAGAACCACTGAGGTCCACCCCACGTTTCAGAAGAAATTATTGTCACGACTGGATTTCACCTCTCTCCCACATTTTGCATCTTCTTTGTTTTTGTTTTTTTTCCCCTAACCTATTCCTAGTGCATAGTAGTTGGGTTTGCTTTGTTTATGCAACAAACAAATCCATTGAGGATGGATAGATGGAATTTAATAGGTAGATATAAATATTTTGCTGGCCATAGTTTCACGATTTACTATTTCAATTACTTTGAATAGAAGTAGTAATTCATCCGACAGGCATGACCTTCATCTTCGAAAAGTGAATTCAGTGTAGTTTTATTATCTGCAAAGGCTGCCGCTGTACTTTCTCAGACTCGGTACATCCCAACATTTATGGGTAAAGGCCGGTTTTGCTTCTTAAACATGCTATCTTATTTTTGTTTAACGTGATTAGTTTGTCATTTAGTACCTTTATTCCCACCCGACTGTAAAACTGTAAAGTCCTGCAGACTATGCTAGCACTCCATAAATTATAAAAATAATAACAATAATACAACTAGTGTAGATCTTTCTATTAAGCTTTCTCTAAGTGCCATTAAATAGTCCATATCAGTAATGACATTTCATATAGTGAGCAAAGTATTCTAGAGTTTGGTAGTCATAGAGAATTAACTATTTAATGCATGCTTTCTTAGCGACCGGAAAACCTAGCCTTCTGGTGAATTACTATACATAGCATTTAAATTGTGTTTCCCAAGCAAACGGTGGCAAGAAATATGAGCTGCCGAGATGCAGTTCACACGTTCACAAAAAATAGCTGTTTAAATAGAGAACCGGAAACTGGATGAAGCTTTCTGTCAGTGTAGTTGAAGTGAATTGCTAGTTTTGTATAGCACATGCTCTCTCAATAGGATAAGGAGAAAAATATATGCCTCTCAAATATTTATTTAGCATCCTGTAATACAGAGGTTATATGCTTAATTTTACTCACTGTTTAGTCTTGGGCCTCAATTTAATATCGTTGGATCATTTTCAAATTGATTTATTATTATTGAATAAACATAACAGAGAAACTGCTATGTTTATAAATGGGTTAATCCAGCCTCTAAATCTTCTGGTGGCTGTCTCATTGACAGCCGCTAGAAGCGTTTGCGTGCTTCTCACTGTGAAAATCACAGTAAGAAAACACAAGCGTCCATAGGAAAGCATTGTAAATGCTTTCCTATGAGACAGGCTAAATGCGCGCGCAGCTCCTGCCGCGCATGCGCATTCAGCCGAAGAAGAGGATCGGAGGCGGAGAGGAGGAGGAGAGCTCCTCGCCCGGCGCTGGAGAAAAGGTAAGTTTAACCCCTTTCCTTGCCATCCAGCCCGGCAGGAGTGGGACTATAGTGCCAGGAAAACGAGTATGTTTGTCCTTTAACTGAGTTGCTCATTAATTGAGTTATGCATTAATACATATTGCACTCACGACAGCAGATAGAGGTATGCCCTACACT